ATTCCTGACTTGAAATTATACTACAAGGCTACTGTGATAAAAATCGGCATGGTACTGGCAACAAAATAGACCTGAGGATAGATGGAATAGATTAGAAGACACTGAAGCCCCTATGAACACACTCAGCCACCTTATCTTTGACAAAGGGGCCAAACGTACTCACTTTAAGAAAGATAGCCTCTTTAACAAATGGTGCTGGAAAAACTGGCTCTCTACATGCCGAAAACTCAAACTTGACCCGGGTCTATCACCATGCACTATACTAAAGTCAAAATGGATTAAAGATCTAAACATTAAAGCAGAGACACTAAATCTCCTGGAAGAGAAAGTAGAAGGAACTCTTGAAGATACCTACAGTATTTAAATGACAATTGAATGCCTTTCTCTGACAAAACTAACTAAAAAATGGGATAGAAATGAATGACCGTTTTATATCTGTATACTCAAAATAGTTAGGATAGTTACACAGCTCCATTCTCTTAAGTCAATGAATAGAGAGGATTGCTATAATAGTGTTCAAGACAGGACAGCATGTCTACATCTTGTACAATGAATAACCACTAAGACAACAATATGCAATGTATTAATTATTGAAAATGTGCCAGTAATCTGTTGTAAAATTGTCTCATTGATATTTGTTTCTCAATAAAATTATTTTTGAAAAAGGTGGTATGTTGCAAAGATTGGAGCAGGAGAACATAAACTTCCCACTACCCCTCCAAGACAGAAGCAGAATGGCATAGGGGCTGTATGCATCACTTAAAATCAGAAATGCAAAAAAAAAAAAATCCTATTTAATTACCCAGCACAGATATGCACATTTGCATTTTCGAGAAGGGTCACTATTCTTGCTGACTCCAACACTTGTTTTTTACATAGAAGTCACCAGCAGGAAATCGACAGGGGTCACACATCCTCTGAGTCCAAAAGTGACAAGGAGCTCCTTGTCACTACTGAGTCTTCCTGGGTGACTTCAGGAAGCCTGGGTCCTTGTCTTTTATTCTCATTCCAGAGTGTCCTATGTACTGAACATTTTGGGACTTAATGGTATTGAAGTCAACTTCTCAGTTGTGTTTTACTTTTTTACAAAAAGTTCTAGGAATGTGCACTATTTACAGGGAGGCAACTTACACTTGGTTGGGACTTCCTAACCCCAAGAGAAAGCACACTTCCTGGTGCATGGTGAGCCCTCATTAAATGCTGGAGCTAGGCCTAGGAGATGGGATATCCATGGTTGCCAGGTTAGCTTCACTTCAGAGTGCTGGAGAGAGCATGGCGTCAACCCCATGATAGAAAGGGGAGAAGCATGCAGGCCCTGAAGGGGCACAATGCAGTTTGGTGCCCTTGCAAAGAGTCCTGCTGGTCACCTGCGGGCACATTCTGTGAGCTCAGTGAGATTCTGACTTTGGAAATACTATAAGAGGAAAGAGCAGTTAGGCAAAATTGGAAATGAAATCCCCTCAAGGAGGGCAATTCTCAAATGATGGAGGGAATACACCCAAGGAGACTTAGAAACAGAGTCAGCTGAGGAAGTTCAAAATATGGTTGCAAAGTAGACTTTTTTTTTTATTAGCTTGGCCTTAGAATTCATAAATGAACAAACAGAAAACAAACAATCATTTTATGCAAAGGACATGCACTACCTAAAAGTAGCACCTCCCTAGAGTAATACTTTCTGGTCCTGTGCACATGTCAGATTTGCTTGTGCTGGTGGAGAAGTGATTTCAGAATGTTTTCCCTGCACTGTCTGCCTTTATATGTGACAGGTAAGAATCCACCCACAGTTCTGACAATTTTATATCCATGGTCAGAACTGTTCTGTTTTCCTTCTTGAATCCTAAGAGCTTTTTATCTTCCAGGTACGATATCTCTGTCCTTCCCTCCTTGTGTCTTAGAGAGAAGCACATGTGGGGACTTCCAGGGAGGCAGGAGCTGAAATTCAATTTCAGTCCTTTTCCTCATTCATTGTTTTTTTAAAGTTCAGGCCTCTCAGGAATAAACTGGCTTGGGAGTACAGGTGGCTCTGAATAGCTTATCAATACCATTTCTAATACCTGTTCTTCACTGGAACCATTATTGACTTGTGGGGGCTTTTCCATAGCTACACATGTCCATGCCTCTATTTAAATATCTCTCGTCTTCCCATTCATCACCAGTGCACAATAGTGCTGGCCTCAGAAGACTGTTCTTTTTAGTTGTCATGAAGCCAGTGTACCTGAAGCTTTCCTTAAAAAGTTGTCAATACAAGTAACACTTCAATTCACATTTTATTTAAGACACTTTAAGGGCTTGATCCAAATAGGTCAGGTCTTGGCAATATGAAACATTCAATACATCTTGGCACATAAAAATGTTAAATAACAGCAATACATTAATAAATACATAAATTACTTAAATATTTAAATAACATGAATGGAAATTAGAGTGTTGAAAAATCTATAAATAAATTAGTTCATTATGCCAGTATGCATTTAGCTTCTATATACAAAAATATAGCGAATATCCTAAAAATTTTAAAAAGCAAATCAATAAAATGTCTTGTTGCGGCTCTTCCATCACGCCTTCAAGATCTTTTGCCTAATTTCTTCCATTTTTCCTCCGAAGTTTCATCTTAAGATTGCAACCTGAAGAAGAATGTTGGACACCACTGTGGATTAGCAATGTGCCAAGCCCCTCTTAGTTCTTCCCAGCCATGACCTACACTTGGGCGAGCCATGTGAGAAAGATTAATGCTACCTTCTGTTGTCTAAAATTTGGCTTCTCCCATTCAGTGTGGAAGCCCTCTTGAGGGTTTTTCTTAAAGGAAGGTCTGATTGGGTCATTTCATTGTTAAGACACTTTTAGTGGCTACCCTAGGTCCCTAGGATTAGATTTTAACCTCCTGGCTCCGACTGCCAGTTTCCTTTCTTTGTCTTCTTCCCTTTTAGGAGGGCAGGACCTAGGTCTGATTTCTTTGTTGCATTATCCCTGGACCCAGCAGGGTGCCTGAGGTAACAAGCATCAACTCACTATCTGTGAATGGGCAGATGGGTTTCTGACTGCTGTCTCTCCCGCTGGGGGCTCCATTCTTCCTTTCCCATCCCCACAGCTCCCACCCCTCATCATGCTTCTGCACTGGACGGCGCATGCGCTGTGCTGGGCAGTCCTGCTCACCTGACTGCAGGGCACAGAGGCCACTTCACTCCACGATGAGTTGTAGTAGCGGTCCTGGGCTTGCACGAGCACCTTCGCGTTCTTGGGGCATGAAACTGTAGCTGAGGTCTCGTTGGTTAAGAGGCTATCTTTCTGCTAAGAGGAAGGAAATCTCTAAGGCCCATTGCCCCTGCAGTCGTGGGGCGGGCCTGGTCTAATTCTGCACACGTGAGCTTCCTGATGCACGCAGCCCATCGCTGGGCTCCACCTTTGTGGTTCCCACAAGACTGACCAGAACTTACACCACCTGCTGGCAGGGTCATAAAATGCAGACGTGGCTCTGCAGCTTTGCAGCCGCTGAGAAAGCAATGACTTGGCCTTGCTCTCATCCTCCTGCACAGCTGCCCTGTCGTCCCAGCACGAAGCAGAGACAGACTTTCTCTAACTGTCCCCTGGGTATTTAGAAACGCCATCTGCTGATCCCTTCAGCACACAAATCCTTCAAATCCTGCCGCTGCTACTTAATAGCTTTGTGACTTCAGGAAAATATCTTAGGCTGCCTGGATCTTTCCGCACGTAGAGACAGGGACAACTATGCTCATTTCATAGCATTGCAGAAATTAAAGATACTAATCATGTAAAAACTCTGGGCCAGACTGTAGTGCCTAACAAGCACCCATTGTCACCCACTAATGATACATAGTTCTTACATAGGAAGGTACTTCTAAGATTTTAGGGAATATTTAGATAAATCTATTCCAGAAGAGACCTATCTGCCCTCCGCCTGTTTTCCAGAGAGTGACTAAGTCGCTGAGTTTCTGGCACTTGCTAAATGCTATGCTGAAGGAGGCCTTTTTCTGCTGATTTTAAAAGTGGGGTTAAAGAAGCCCGAGGCTCTATAAAAGGCCTCCGGAAATTTGCAAGAGGCAAAGAGTTATGACACTGAGGCGAGAAGGCTGAAAAGCTACTGCTTCACACTACAGTGACGTAATCGCACAACATTTGCAACAGCCATGTTGGGTAAGTACACGTGTTCCATCACCCATTACATTTAGTCAGTTGAAACAATCATTTGGGGCTCCTGGAGACGAGATCCTAATAGGATCAGTTCTGGTCCTGGGACTAGTGATTGGCCAGAGGAAGCCAGCAGGGTGGGTAGGTTTGTGGCTTTTGTGACTGGCAGACTAAATCTGTGTCCTAGGCCTGTCCCTTCCTAGCTGGATGACCTTACGAAGGTGAAGACTTTTTGAGTTTCAGTGTCTCCCCTTGTCAAGCGGTGACAGTAGTACCAGCTGCTGTCATCAGGTCAATGGTGTGAATTGAATTATACATACAAGGAAAGTCCTTAGCACAGTTCCAGCAAGTGCTAAGACATAGCAGTTGTTGTTATCATTGTCAAGGTTTGTGTCTAGGTGTCCCTCCCAAAGCCTCCTGCAGTCATGGGGCAGACTTCTACAGTTTGTGATTAACTCATGATTCACTGGCATTATGGATGTGAATGCTGCTGGGATTATGGGGTGTGAATGCTGCTGGGATTATGGGGTGTGAATGCTGCTGGGATTATGGGTGTGAATGCGGATAGGATAATGGGTGTGAATGCTACACCCAGCCTGGGGTGGATGGCCTGAATGCAACTTGAGAGAGACAGATATACTCTCTGCAGCCATTGTTGCCACTATTCCTCCCTTTTTCTCTTGCTGGTTGCTGTCTGCTCTTTGCCGCTGCCATGAAAGGTTGCTCTCTGCCCTGTGCCAGTCTGCATTGGAGCCAGCTGAGTATGAACTGAAACCTCCATTAACTGTGAGCTAAATAAAGCTTTTCTTCCCTAATCTTGAGTGCTGGGTATTTGTCCCAGCAATGAGAGGAGAGTAACTGAAATATAGTGCACCTGGGTCACACTTTACCTTTTCCCGTTTGTTTTTGACCTGGACTTGCACTGAGAACGTCAGGGAGAAGTAGGAATGCGGAGTGCTCCAAGTGTCAGGATACTCCCAGCTGACCTCCACCTGCTGAGAATTCGTCAGTGGCTTCAGCTGCAGGTTCTTTGGTGGGTCTGGTTTAACTGTGGAGGACAAACATTGTTTTATTATCCTGGTGGGCTTTGGAATTAGGTGGTTTGGGCTTCTAAGCCCCTGGCCCCTGTGAGTAACATGGTAGTTCCTCAGCTTCTCTGAGCACTTGGCCAGTGCCTAGAGACCCCTCTCTCTGCTCCAGATGAGCCTGCTATTGCTTGAGGTCACCTTCAATAGCCCCGGCCTTGGGGCTGGAGAGATGGCTCAGTGGTCTAAAGCACCTACTTAGAACAAGCTTGGCAAAGCATCAGGGACCGCGGTTCAATCCCCCAGCACCAC